GATGTACATGTGTTGAACATTTATTAGATGCTAATGTCTTAGTTATATCTCATATTTGGTTTAGCATATCTCTACTGGGCTTTGGCTCACCCTATATGGGACATCATTTTCAGGTACAGGAGACATGCCGCCTCCAAGGACCTAGCTTGGGTGATTTAGAGGCAACAGACTTCTTTTGTTGATACTTCTTTTGTGTTACATGTTTTTATTTCCAAGCCAAGGGCTTTAATTGTAAAGGGTTTTGACCCTCTTTTGTTGTAACCAAGTGTTGACTTGGAAAGTTGTAAACCCGTAGGGGATTTACTTTTGTTGTCAACATGTAACACCTTTTGTGGAAAACACTCTGATGAATGAATATATTTTATTTTCTCATGTCCATGGTTATTATGAATGATTGATTTATGCATTTATTTTGAGGGCGTTACAAACTTGGTCATCTTGGCAAGTACGTATGTACTTCTTGCAACATTACCTCAGCCTTAACTGCAACTTGTAAATTTTTCTGAAAATTTCAACATGAGTGTCAAGCCAACTCTAGCTTGCAACGCCTAAGCACTTTAAACTTTATTGATCATTCTCCAACTCTCTGCCCCCTAATATGAACTTAAGTTTAAATTATGTTCACATTAAGCATGTGCCTATGATCTTGTTGCGGAAGTTAGATTCACACAAAGACTAGTCGAGGTCCTCACCTTAGTTTCTCTGATAATCTTACTGAAATGCACTTAGTTCCAATCTGAGTTTGATTCTGCCGACATGGCAAGTCTAGGTTAGTTCAACTCCATTATATGCGAGTATAATTTCAACTCTGCCATATAATGAATCTAAGTTATTCATCATGCTTCACTTAGAAATATCGCCAACTTAGTTCAACTCCATTATATGCAAGTATAATTCAACTCTGCTATATAATAAGTCTAAGTTATTCGTCATGCTTCACTTAGAAACATCGTCAACTTAGTTCAACTCCATTATATGCAAGTATAATTCAACTCTGTTATATAATAAGTCTAAATTATTCGTCATGTTTCATTTAGAAATATCGCCAACTTAGTTCAACTCTATTATATGTAAGTATAATTCAACTCTGCCATATAATAAGTCTAAATTATTTGTCATGTTTCACTTAGAAACATCACCAATTTCGTTCAACTCTATTATATGCAAGTATAATTTAACTCTGCCATATAATAAGTTTAAGTTATTCGTCATATTTCACTTAGAAATATCGCCAACTTAGTTCAACTCTATTATATACAAGTATAATTCAACTCTGCCATATAATAAGTCTAAGTTATTCATCATGTTTCACTTAGAAACATCGCCAAAGGATTGATCACACAAATTTTCAAATTCTTTAAAAAATCAAGCTAAAATTTTTGTTATTACTACCTCGGCTAAGAAAGTTATGACATAAATTTTGAAAAAACAAAAAAGTCTAATGATAAAAAAACTTTAAGTTGTAAGTGTTTCAGGGTCTTGGCAACTCTTTGCCTTCGCTATCTGTAAGCCGATATGCACCATTGTCGGTGACCGAGATAATTCTATAAGGTCCTTCCTAATTTGGGCTTAGTTTGCCCTCTTTGGGATCCTTATTGTTGCCGACTACTTTCATCAACACAAGGTCCCCAACTTTGAATTCTCTTGGGTTAACCTTCTTGTTGTAAGCCCTAGCAAGTTGTTGCCGGTATGTCGCTAGCCGAATTGCTGCCCTCTCCCTTCTTTCTTCCAACAAGTCCATATCTCGAGCTAGGAATGCCTCATTAGTCTCATTCTCTACTCCCTGGGTTCTTATCTCTGGGATGCCCACTTCTAGCGGGATGGCTGCTTCTGTGCCATAAACCATGGCAAATAGGGATTCTCCAGTTGATCTTTTCGGCGTAGTTTGATATGCCCAGAGTACATTGGACAACTCATCCACCCACTTTCTCTTTGCTGCTACCAGCCTTTTCTTGATCGCATCCAGGATTGTTTTATTGGGCGCTTCTGCTTGACCATTACTCTGAGGAAAGCTTGGAGTAGAGTAATAGTTCTTGATTTTATACTTTGCACAAAAGTTCTTAATTAGCTTGATGTCAAACTACGTGCCATTGTCTGCTATTATTGCCCTTGGGATCCCAAACTTGGTGATGATGTTCTTCTATATAAAGTTCTTCACATCAACATCTCGAATCTTTGCCAGAGGTTCTGCTTCTATCCACTTGATAAAGTAATCTGTTGCTACCAGTAGGAATTTTCTCTGTCCAGTTGCTTGGGGTAATTGCCCAACTAGATCCATGCCCCACTAGGCAAATGGTCAAGAGCTGGATACTGGTTTCAAATCTGCTGCTGGTTGATGTATCAACGGTGCGAACCTTTGACACTTCTCGTACTTTCTGACGTAGGCTTCAATATCTTTCTGCATGTAGGGCCACCAGTACCCTTGAGTAATGGCCCTATGAGCAAGTGACCTGTCCCCAGCGTGGCTTCCACATACCCCTTCGTGTATTTCATACAAGAAGTCTTCAATTTGTGACGGATACATACATCTCAAAAGGGGACCAATAAAAGACCTTCTGTAGTGATGTCCTTCTGCTGTTAGACTGAACCTCGCCGACTTCAGTCTGGTCTTGTGTGCCTCTTTTCTGTCCTATGGTAGCTTCCCATCTGTAAGGAATACTACTATTGCATGCATCCAACTTGGTCCCATCTCCACACACATTGCTTCATACTTTGTGATTAGTAGTTCCACACTTGGGTCTGATAAATAGTCAACCATTATTGTCCTTGTCTCCCCTGATTTTATTGCATTAGCTAGGTTAGCCAAGGCATTGGCGTGACTGTTGTCATCTCGGCTAACCTGCTGTAGTCGGCAGTCTTGAAATAGGGATAGTAGTCTGACAATCTCTTTGACATAGGCTATCATTCTTTCATCGCGGGCTGCATATTCGCCTGCTGTCTGGTTCACAATAAGCTGGGAGTCACAGAAGACTACCACCTCGTCAGCTTCCATTGTTGCTGCCAATTTCAATCCTGCGATCAGTGCTTCATATTCTGCTTCATTATTTGAAGCCTTAAACCCCAATTGAATAGATTGTTCTAACATCCGCCTAACTGGCAACACTAGTACTACTCTGTCCCCGCTCCCTGACGGTTTGAACTCCCATCAACAAATAGGCGGAAAGAGTCGCCGATGTAAATATCGCAAGGTTTAAGTTTCTCTTCTTTCTTCTGTTCTGTTGATGTGGGGTTTTTTATTCCCAGCTGGGTTTCTTCTTGTTCACCTGGACATCCTAAGCCGCGGCTCATCGGAGCCCGACGTGGGATGGCGCCATGTGTGAACTCAGCCACGAAGTCGGCCAGAACCTGGCATTTGATTGCTGTTCTAGGTCTGAACTCCAAATTGTATTGGCCCAATACCACTGCCCATCTGGCCACCCTACCTGTCAGATCTCCTTGCTATAGTAGGGACTTCAAGGAGTGTTCAGTCAATACCACAATCTCGTGGGCTTGGAAATAGTGGTTCAACTTCTTGGAGGCCATTATCAAGGCCAATGTCAATTTCTCTAGGGGTAAATACTTGCTCTCTACGCCTGCTAGGGTTTTACTCACATAGTAAATGTGACGACCCTAGCACGTATAGTAATTAGCGCTTAATTAATTAAGGAGATTTGAATTTGAATTTTCAATTATTCCAATTTTATTCGAGATTTATGAAAACTATTGAGACTGGTTTGTATATAATTCTATTGAGGATTTATTTTGGAATTAGAAGTTGAAAGCCTACATGGCTCAAGAAAGTATAATTGGTGAATTGAATCATTTTAATTTCGAGTATCGAACCGTATGAGAGTTTAATTAAATATTCGATTCGGATTTATAAAATTGAGATTTGATTAATTGGGTCCGAATTGAAATTAATTAAATTATGAAAATTAGGAATTAATGTTTTATGAATTAAATTTATTTATGAGACATTCAATTAAGGTATTCATTTGAGTATATAATTTATTGGCGAAGATTTTGAAGTTTAATCTGAAATTGAAGACCTCAATGATTCAAGAAACCAAAACTGAGGATGGAAATAAGTTTAATTTAATACTTGGAGCCTTTTGAGAATTTGATTAAAAATCTGATTCAAATTCATAAAATTAAGTATAATTAATTGGACCTTAATTAAAATTACTTCGACTAATTAAATTATGTAGGATTTGAAATTAGTTATAATTAATTAAAGTATGTGCTAATCAGGTGTTAATTATAATTAGCTAAGACTAGGTAGTGTTTCATTAAATTAATATATATATATATATAAATATATAATTAACAATTAACTAAATTCTACTTAAACTAATTAGAATGTGTATGTATATTTAAGAGGGGTTGACCATGTTTTAGAAAGTTTGAGGAAGTGGATGTCTTCAATCTCATCTTCATTGGAAGGAAATAAAGAAGAAAAAAAAGAAGCTCTGTTTTTGTAGCCGAGAGAGAGAGAGACCGAAAGAGAGAGAGAGAGAGAGTTGCTGGAAGGAACAATAAGGTGAAGAAAAGAAAGAAAAGTTCAAGAAAATTTAAAGGAAAACTCAAGTTGGTGAGGGAACCCAAGAAGAATCACTACTAGAAAAATGGGTATATGACACAGAATTTTTTGCGACGGCATATTAATCGTCGCAAAAAGTACTCTTTTGCGATGAGTAATATCTCGTCGCCAATGGTCGTTTTTTGCAACGGCAATTCCTGTCTCAAAAAGATGGAAGGATATGATGAATGGTTTTTGCGATGACAAACTTTTAGTCGTCGTCAAAAGCCTATTTTTTTGCGAATAATGCTTGGGACCCCTTTTGGGGGTCACCCTCTCACCCCCTTTGTCACGTGGCAGGTGGTGATTGGAGGAGCAGGAAAAAAAAAAAGAAAAAAAAAAAAAAGTAACCAATGAGAGAGAGGGGGTCAAAGGAAATGGGGGAAAAAAGGGATGAATCATTGTTGTTTTTTTGCAATGGCCTTTGTTGTGTCGTGGCTAATAGACCAAAAAAAAAAAAAGCTTCTTATATGCCTCTGTCTCTCAATCACGCCCCCTCTCTCTCTCTCTCTCTCTCCACTGCCGTCGGTACAAGAGCACACGACCACCACTGCCATTGATATCACCGTCACAAACCAGCAGCACCTGATGGCAGATCTCGCAGTTACGGAAAACATTAGATGCAAATCTGGAATACAAAAATTAACGACCTCTCTCACCTTTACGCGATCGTTAGTTCGTTTGTGTCAAGTGTTTTCGTGACAGAGAACGAGGAAGAAAGCAACTCCCGAAGCGTAGAGAGAGAATCTAGAGAGAGTAAATTAGGGCTAAGGAGGGAAAAAAGTTACAGAGGGTTTTCTCGTTGTTTTTTGGTTTCTCTCAGAGGTTAAAGCCTCTGCAACACATCCTATGTGTTTCTAAACCCCATCATTACCTTCATTTTCCATTTCCATTACCATTTTTAGAGAGAAAATCCCGAGGAAAAGTGAGGAACATATATAGAGAGAGTCGTCTCTGGTGCGAGTTTATCGATTGTGGGGGCACAAATTGGATCTTGTAGGTTATTCACATTGTGGGTATATTGGAAAGAGTCAATGGGTTCACCTACATTGCGCTTTTGAAGGAAATTTAGGGTTTGATCGCTCTCAATCTAATTGATTTATGAGAAAATGGTATTCACTTTCAATTGATTTTTGCAACTATTTTGTTTTTCATTTTTTGCTTTAATTTTGATGATTTTTGAGTTATATTTGCTGACCTTAGGTGGTAATGGAAGCAAAACAGTCTCCCATTTCACCAAGTGATGTTGAGGCTTGAATAATTTTCTGTTCCTTAAGCTGGGGTTTTTTTTTTTTTTTTTTATATTGTGGTTACTAGTACAAATAGTGAAGGCACTCAATACCCAATTCAATGTTATGTTTACCATTATCTGATGTTGAACATTGAGGAACTTTGCTGAAGCTGGAAATTTTATTCGCATTTATGGAAAACATCAGTGGCAATCGAAGGGGTTTGACATTGAGATCGGTGGCCAAATTTAGAGGCTAGAATCGACAGAGGCAGCAATTGAGATGCGTAGAAAGGGCGGAATGTAGTGGGGGAATCAAAAACCCTAATTTTATTTCTATTTTCTCTCTCTCTCTCTCTCTCTCTCTCATATATATATATATATATGTATGTATGTATAAGTAGTTTCAGATCTCTCTCTCTTCAATTCAATTTATAGAACATGATGCATTACTTTGTTTTGCTTTGATTGCTTTCTCAGAACTCAAAAACAAAAACAAAAAGGGTTTTCTTGACAACTCCATTCAGTTCATCTGAAATTCTCGTTTTCTCCGAAATGGGGTTGTGGGATTCCCTCCTCAATTGGCTCAGCAGGTAATTTACTCCCTTCTCTTCTAATCTTCCATATTTTTTTTGTCATTCTTCAGATTGTCTTTCTCTTATTTTCTTGGAAATGTTGTTCATGGTTTATTAGGTTCAACCTAGTCTCACATTTGTCACAAAATTGAAGTTTTTAAGCTCAAGAACAACCTATTAGTGTTGAAAGGAGAAATTATAGTTCCTTTTATATCTGGTTGGTTTATGGGAAACGACATGGAAATAAAAGGCAAGATTTTGGATTGTTTTGCTCCTTGAAAATGTATAACAAAAACTAACCCAATTAAGAACTATACAATTTGGATTGAATAACATTGGAATTAACTGGATTATGTTTCCTATTGTTTCTCATTAATAACAAGCTGGTATGTTGACACTCTATACTCTTGCACACAACTTTTCGATGACACCTCTCTCTATCATGTATCATGTATGGACTGTAATATTGATTTGTATTGAGTACACAAAAAGTAGATTATAGAGATAGTAAACTTCTATTTAAAATAGTTATCATAGTTTTCATTACTCAGAATTTTGACACCTAATAAGAAAAGGGAGAAGGATAGTGTGTGTATCACGTACAAGATGCATATAACATGTCTTTTTGTAATAACGTCATAAAATTTTTTAACATGAACAATAAAATGAAAAAGTTGTATATAACATGTCTTTTTGTAATAACGGCCTATATATTCTAGTTTTTCAAACATTGTGTCCCCTTTTCTTAATTATTACATCGTGAAAAAGTTGTATTTTTTTTCCCCTTATAACTTGTATTTTTAACTTTTCAACTCTCTCTGTTTCTGATTCACTGTTCTACTCATTTATATAGATAGTAGTAAGTATGAAATGCATTTACAGCCTAATATATTCTATTTGTAATTTGTCAAAGTAAGTTTTCTTTCTTGGTGATCTGATTATCCTTTTCTAGTATTTAAGAATCTCTAATGTGCCTATCCTGTCCAAGAATTTAAGAAATTCTACTTTCATAAACATTATTTGGTTATGTACTTCATATGGTTTCTTATTTGTCATGATACATATAAACCTTTAAATGACGCATTGTCAAGATGTGGCGTGATGGTAACAGAGAGAAAGAAAACTGAGTTTAAAGAAAGGGATTTGGTGCAGGATCTTGGTAGGCTTGTTAAAGGTTCTATAGAACTGGTTAGAGATTTTGTATCTGGGTTTGAATTTGCACCTGGGGTTTTGGGTTCATTGCTATCTTATGTAGAACTACTTGTTGAGGAGAGCAATTATGGAAGTCATAGGATTTGAAAGTAAAATCTTCACAGCTACATGAGGTTAGATTCTGCTACCAGGAAGGCTCTAACTGTTATGGACAGCAAAACTGATGCAAACAAAAATTTTAGTTTCTTTGGACTCATGAATAGAACCTGTACTGCTGGGATGAGTAAAACATTACTGCAAATATGGATAAAACAATCTTTGTTAGATGTGAATGAAATCAACCCCATGATGCTGGCAGATAATATTACTTGTGTTTGCACCTTGTAACAAAGTATTTATAAATAATTATGAAGAATTACAAAATGGGAAAACACTGATTTCATATACCTTGACTAATAAAAAGCACTAGATGTTATGTAAAGAAATATGAATGAATGCATGTAACTACTGCTGTAATTGTGTACAGTATAACTAATAGAGCTATGATTTTCTCTGTAGCATGCAACTAGCCCATTAAACTATATTTGTGTAACATCTTTTGGAGAATATTAGCAATCACTAGTGTAATACGTTTTTATGCCTTTCAAATTCCATAATTCTTATAATTGACTAACTGCAGAGGAAAACTCCATCTTAAGCAAGATATTTTGGTGATATATCTACTCACTTATGAGTTATCTGTATTTATTCCTTGTCTAGGACAGCCCACTAGAACTTGCTTAGGTATATGAGTAGCAATCACTAGTGTAATACGTTTTTATGCCTTTCAAATTCCATAATTCTTATAATTGACTAACTGCAGAGGAAAACTCCATTCTTAAGCAAGATATTTTGGTGATATATCTACTCACTTATGAGTTATCTGTATTTATTCCTTGTCTAGGACAGCCCACTTGCTTAGGTATATGAGACACGAGACAAACTCATGGCTACACATTCAGAGTTGGATCAAGAGGGCGCTATTCAAATTGTAATAATAAAGACAACAGGTGATAAAATTTTAAGTCAGCCATTTGCAGCTATGGGTGGAAACTTGTTTACAAAAGAAATAGATGAGGCCCTCATATGCTGAAATCGACATTGCTGTCCATTCAATGAAAGATGTTCCTACTTATTTACTAGATAAGACAATTTTGCCTTGCAATCTTCCACGTGAGGATGTTCGGGATGCATTTTTTCCTTGAGTGCAGTTTTGCTAGCAGAGCTTCCAGTTGGAAGCACCGTGGGAATTGCTTCACTCAGAAGAAAGTCACAAATTCTCCATAGATATCCATCACTCAATGTGAGTATATTATCTTAAATGTGACAACTTAATTTTGCTAGAATCTGATTATAATTTATCAAATTAGGAAGAGATGGCCTCTTCTTTTTCTTTTTTTGGGGGAAGAGAAGATGATAAGAATAGACAAAAATGATGTGTCCATACAGGGGTGAATTCTCTGTCAATCTTCTTGCAGCATGGGTTTTAGATACCATGGGATCATATTATGTTGGATCCAGTTGAATATGCATGTATATATATATATATATATGTATATAATTTATCAGCATAATGTTAGTAAGCTTAATTGGTTTCCGAATTTGATGGAGCTAGAAATTACAATAGTCATGCTACTAGCGCCAACAAATAAGTATGGAATTTGTAGCATGCTGACACCTCATCCAAAATAGAATCATGTGACTCTTGGCTTAGTGATTCAATCCAAAACAACCTGATCCAATTGGGTGGATTTGGTTCAGTCTTGATTGTATTCATTCTGGTTTCGTAGTGAAAAAGCTTAGAACTGACAAAGGGTGGTCTGTCTTGGTTTCTTTGTTCTTTTTTTTTTTTTTTGGTTAAACTCTGTATTCTACATATGGGTTTTGAACTCAATTTAAGCAAATGGGTTTCAATTTAATTTGATTTTTAAAAACAAAAATTGTCTTGCTTTGATTTTTTGGAGGTAGTGGTTTTTGTGCTCCTAATAGCTAATTGTGCCCATGATTGAATGATTTTGAATTTTTTATGCATAACAAAAGCGTGAGTCATTGTGAAGTCTCATCCTTTTTGTTTTATGAATTTGAATTTAAGGGCTTAGCTATGTACAAGTATTTACATTTTTAGAGATGTAATGAATTTGAATAATAAGTGACGTTTCCTTAGTTGGGTAGAATCTGATATGTGGTTTGATTTTCTATGAACTTCTTATCCAATTGTGCACTATCTTGTACACAAGTCCAACATATTAGTTTCACTGTACTTTCTATGCAGATTTTATCTAGGCGTTCCTGATGCTCTCAAATTTTCAAGCTCAAGAATATATATTGTCACCACAAAACAGGTTTGCATTTTTCATTTATGTTTGATATTAATAGGATTTTTTAGCTACCGCATTTGAACTGACGTAGTTAGGAAAAATCCAAATTTGATTTTTGAAGTTTTTAACAATTAATGTTTTTCAAAGTGTTCGAAGCAAACACCAATAAATCGGATTAAGGTTCGTTTGGGTCGCGTGTGTCTTTTCATAATGTATATGCATTTTTCCATTTTCCTTTTACTGATATTTTTAAATTTTTTTTATTTTTCTTTGGCGTTACGACTGCCCTATTTTAGCACAGGGCTGCTTTGTTGATGCATTACTACGAAAGCTTGTAGGAGTCCTAAAGTAGGGTTGCTTTGTTCGTGACACGAGTTTTTTCTTCGCTTCTGGCAATTCCCGTCAGTCCCAAAGTAGAAGTCCTAAAGTAGCTTCAAAAGAAACTAGAACACTAGGGCAAGTTCTAGGCTTGGCTTGCTCATGTTAGAGAAAGCTCCCAAACGAAGTATGATAGGGTGTTGAATTATGTCAAAATTAAATGTACAATAGAATCAGATATCATCAGACTTGAATGTTCTCCAAAGTTATCTCTTGGAAGGTCAAAACATGAAATAATATATATCCATTAGTGTCTAGTTAAAATTTTAGTATTTTATTTCACTATTCTTATAGAGTTTTTACTATAGTTGAACATACAAAGACCTGTATTAAATTTGCAGTTTGACATTGACCGGAATGGACTAATTGACCCTTAATATTTTTGCCTTGACAGGAACCAACACATGGGACAGATTTGAGCTCCGTGTACACAAGCGAGTGGTTGATCTCTTCAGCTCCCCCCAAATGTGGTTAAGCAAATCACCTCTATTACTATTGAACCTGATGTTGATGTTGAGGTTACAATTACTGACTCTTAAAAAATAGTTAGTGTTGTGTGAACCATTTTCTTTGATGTTCAACACGGGATCAAGATTTGTAGTAGTAAGTTATTTGGTCAGAGTTTTTATCGGTGACAATTTTGAAGTTTAGAAGTTAAGAGTTTGATGTGACATACGCCTTGTGATGTTATGTTTTTATTTTTAAGAAATTCAGATGCATGCTATTTTTTATTTTTTTGATCCGCTGATGGTTGGTAAACTCTCTTGGACTATTGATATCTGGAGATTGGTTTGTGTTTGAATATTGTGCATAAGGGGAAAACCAGTTACATGGACCGGTTGTCAATGGTGCTTTTGTTGGTTTGTCTGTCTCTTTATCACAGTTATTTTTTAATTTTTTGTTGGTTTATGCATTATTTTTTCTTATTTGTACTGTTGATACTTTTGTTTTGTTTTAGATACAAATTTAAGTTCTTAAATTATCAAAAAAATTTAGTATTATTGGAGAATGTTTTATATATTTTTGTATAGAATGTTTGGTTGACATTCTATTGTTACAAGATACATATACATAATTATTCGTATCTATGATTTTATGAATGTGAATGTCAATGTGTGGGACTATAGATGTATTTTATTTTAGAAAATATTAATAATTTGTGCAGGGAATGAATTAATAAAATATGTATTTATTTTATGAAAATGATTTTTTTGCGACATTAATAAACCGTCACTAATGGAATCATCATTTTTTTGCATTTTATTAACGACGGGTTAAGTTGTCGCATATACATAATAGTGTCATCTTTAGCGACGGTTTAAACTGTCACAAATACATTATTGATTTAATTTTGTTTTTTTGCGACGTTTAAAACCGTTGCTAATAGTACTTTTTGCGACGTCAACTACCGTCTTTAAAAAAAATATTTGGTGACGGCATCCTAAACCGTCGCTAAAAGTGATGTTTTCTTCCATTTTTTGTGTCAGGTTAAATCGTCGCAAAAACTATTGATTTACTGTCGCTACAAGAAAGCGACGGTTTGTAACCGTCGAAAATACTTTGTCATGCCTCCTTCCGCCACCCCTCATTTCCCGTCGCTACTCCGTCACAAAAAGTCTTTTGCGACGACATGTGGACCTTTTGCGACGTTTGAGACCATCACAAAAAGTCCGATTTTTAGTAGTGAATTAGAAGGGATTCAACTAAATATTCTGAAATTAAAACTCAAGGTATGAAATTTATGTTAATTTGTGTAGAATCTTTACATTATGCTTGAAATTAAAGGTGAAATTGGAATCAATTGCAAGAAGATGAAGAAAGATTAACTTAAGTATAAGATTCTGGAAGTTAATTTGGAATTGGGTTCTAAACATGAAATGGGTTACATGCATGTGGATGATTATGGAAAATAAATTAAAAATTAATTATTTTGAGTTTAATTTTTGTAATCTTGCATGAGATTAAGTTCCATTGTTACATGCATGAGGGAATTCTATGAGTATTTGAATTTATATTTACATGCATCATGGGTTTTGAAGAAATTGAGCCATTTAAGTTCAAATTTTGAAGAGAAAAAGAAAATGTTTTATGAACATCAAGTTTATGGAAATTTAGAATTAATCCTAATGTTAGATTAAGTTTTGATTTTATAATTAGATTTTTAATCCATGCATGTAATGTAATTTAAGATTTTATTTAAATTAAACATATTTTGGAACATCTATGATTATGAATTAAGTTGAGGTTGCAAATTAAGTTAAGTTTAAGATTATGGAAATTAGTTGGAAAATTTATAAGAATATAAAATTAGTAATTTTGATGTCAATTTCATACATATGAATGATTTTATAAGGAGTTTATGACCTTAATTTCATGTTTTGAAGGAGAATAGAAAGAGCTTGAAATCAATTTTATGTAACTGAAAAGAAAATTAGAAATTGGAGCCATGTTCAATTTGTGGAGATTAATTTAGAGATTAATCACTTTGGGCTTGAAATTTGGCTTGATATGGAGAAAATGAGTTAAAACTAAATTTGGACAATTGGAGCATGATTTGGAATAAATGATTTCTAATTCAGAGTGTTTACTAAATTATACAATGGTTCTCCATATTTGTGTACCAAAAATACATGTTTTGAGGCTTTGAATATCAAATCTTAACTTCAATTACAGTTCTGAAAATTCCATAATTCACACTATCTGCTTGAGCGAGGAAAGTCTTGCTCGAGCGTGAAAATTGAGCTCCCAGAAGTTTTTCAGAAATTTAAAGTCCGCTCGAGCGACCAAAGTGGCGCTCGAGCGAAGACCCTATTTTCAGCATATTTTGAAAAATTGCATTTAGTTCACATTTTTATTCTCATCTCTTTCCAAAGCATTCTAGACATGATTTATGGCTCAATAAAAATTAATAAGCTAACAATCAACATTAATTAGTTGATTAAAAGAATAAGTCATTAACTTAGTAGTACTTGATTAAGAAGCCAAGTAAGAATTGGTTTATTCAGAAAAGAATGATTTAGTAATGAAAGGGTATGTGAAATAAGAATCCGATTCATTTGAATAAAGGAAGAATACACATAGTAGAATCTCGGACTACTTAGACAGAAAAAGACAAGAAAAGTCAAGCTTGATCAAGGAATTGATATTATGTTTCGATGTGTATATGTTATGGGTTTGTGTAGGTCACGCGCTATCGTTCGCCTGATCTATCTGAATTTTCTGCATTATCTGATCTGCTAGTGGAGCCATCTGTGAGTAACAATGTTGTAAAGCTATGTTAAATTATAATTATTTTTTGAATGATTAACTGTTCTATTTTCTGAAATGATATTGTTTACTGAATGAATGTTTGTCCTATTTTATAAACTGTACTTGTGGCATCCATAGCAACTGACTGTTACTATTACTGTTACTGTTACTGCTACTGTTACGGAGATCTCTGTCAGTTCCTATCCTTGGAACTACTGTTACTGTATTGATGGCCATCAACTGACTGTTCGGTCTATTAAGATCTACTGTACTGTTCTGCTATTGAATGTACCACGTATGATTGCTATTATCTCTAAATGACTGATATGACATGAAATATGAGACACTGATTGAATAACTGATCTACAAATGCAATTGACTATTTTAATTACTGAGAGGACATTCATTCTTATCTTTTTACACATTCGTTATTCACTGGGTTTTAACTCACAGTTTATTATATATATGTAGGTGGTCAGGCACCGAAGCAAAGTTAGCGGCGTCAGCCTAATTTAGTTTTGTCAAGGCTTTGTTTTGGGTGGTCTAAACCCACATCTTTTGAATGAATTCCATATGGAGTCAAGTGAATGTTTCATAAGTTGTTTTGGCTTTGGGATTTAATTCCCCAACATGTCTTTTATTTTGTACTTAGACGTGTTCTGGACTTCAGTACTTACATATATATTGAATATGGACTTGGACTTATGTTTGTATTGATATATATATATATATATATATTTGTTTTTTGTGCATTTAAGTCCTCACAGCTCTTTGGACATTATGTTTTGATATTTACAAGCTTCCGCCGGCCCTTCCTATTGTATAATTGTTATTACTATTAAGTAGGCCTTTGGTAATCACGAATTACTGGCTGGTTACAATGCTAAACCCTTAAGGGCGGGTTTGGGTCATGATAGTAAACTGTCCTCCGTTCTCCCTTGTCTTCTCTGATTAGCACTGTACTCACTGCATACTCCGAAACTGCCAAGTATAGAAACAGCTCCTTTTCAGGTACTGGGTTTGAGAGAACTAGAGCTGTGGTCAGGTATTTTTTTTTAAGTCGGTCAAGGCGACTTCGCACTCCTTCGTCCATAAGAAATCTATGGCCTTCTTCACTAAATTAAAAAATGGTTTGCATTTGTCAGAATTTTTATTCATGAACCTATTCAGGGCTGCGGCTCTTCCAATTAACATTTGCACCTGTTTTGCTGATGTTGGGCTCTTTAAGTCCAGGATGACCTTGATTTGATCTAGGTTTGCCTCAATTCCCCTTCTAGTAACCAAGTATCCTAAGAACTTACCAGACCCAACTCCAAATGCGCATTTCCAAGCATTGATTCGGAGCCGATATGTTCTAAGGATGTCGAAAACTGCCCTCAAGTCGACCAGATGATCCTCAGGTTCTTTGGTCTTCATGACCATGTCATCAATGTATATTTCCACTATTTTGCCAATTAGATATCTGAACATTTTGGTCACCAATCTTTGGTAGGTTGCTCCTATATTTTTTAACCCGAAGGGCATCACTTTGTAGCAATACAACCCTTTTGGGGTGATAAATACAATCTTCTCCGTATCAGGGGAGCACATTGCTATCTGATGGTATCCCCCGTATGTATCCAGGAAACTCATCATTCCATGCCCTGAAGTGGCATCCATCAATTAATCAATTTTGGGGAGTGGGAAACTGTCTTTGGGACAAGCCTTATTCAGGTTAGTGAAGTCCATGCAGACCCTCCACTTCTCATTTTTCTTCTTCACAACAACTCTGTTTGACAACCAAGTTGGGTAGTTTACTTCTCGAATGGCTCTAGCTTCCAGCAATTTATCCACTTCCTCCTCTACTGCCTCAACATGCATCAAGGTCGGCCTTTTTGCTTGTTGGATGATAGGTTTAGCCGACCTGTTTACTTTCAGACTATGGCAACTGACCGCGGGGTCAATGCCAGGCATCTCGTATGGCATCCATGCAAACACTCCAATGTTTACTCGTAAGAATGCTTCTAACTCCCTTTCCTCCTCCTCGGCCAAACCTGAGCCGAGAAAGAAGAAGCGTTCTTCATTCTCTTGTTGGACCAGGATCTTCTTAAAAGCTTCCTCGCTTTTGTCGGCCGGTTTTTTGCTGACGTCATCCAGGACCTTCATATTTTCGTTCTCAATCTCTACTGTTTCTGCTTCTCGTATGTTACAAGTGGATTTCATTGCTGCCATGAAGCAATTCTTTGCCTGCACTTGATCTCCTCAATTCCATGCCCTGTTGGGAACCGCAACAACTGGTGTAGTGTTAAGGGAACATCCCTCATTGCGTGCAACCATGACCTTCCCAAGATAACATTGTAAGGGGAGGGGGTGTCAATTACTGTAAATTTTGTGCTTACCCTCTTGGTGTCTGCCTGTACCTCCAAACTTCTTGCTCCCAAGGGCCACATTGGCGTTCCATTGAATCCAACCATTGAACTGTTGGACTACTCCAGATCATTTTGGTGAAGGCTGAGCTCCTTGTAACATCTGATATACATGATGTCACAAAAGTTAACCAGAATGTGCCTTACCTGGCATTTTCCAATCTTGAGGGATATTACTAGA